CAGCTTAGAAACTTCCCAGTGGAAAAAAATCACAGGACTAGAGAAAGACCATAGGCAATAGGACCCTCGACCTGGACTTGTGCTGGGCTTCTCAGCACACACCTGCTGCCAGGAAGAGAGTAAGAACTGGGTGCCTGGAGACCAAAGCTCTTCAAACAACTCCACCACTTAAAACCTGCAAGGTCAGAGGGAGTTCCCAGCTGCCCAGGCATCTGAGTGTCCATGATTTCTACCTCATCTTTGCACATGAAACCAAGCCTTTGAAGTCTACAGCCTCTGAGAAAAATTAAAAACGATCACACCAGAGAGCCTGACTGTTCAGGAACTCCAGGGTCAGCCATCTCCCGTAGCAGCTGTGGCCAAGGGCACAAAAAGCAGCAGCAACAGGGATTATTAAGGAAATGGAAAYAGGTGGCCCAAAACTGGAGCAAGCCTCTATAAAGCAATGGGCCAGGGAAAGGAAGCTTGGTGTCTTCTCCCGAAGTTGGAGGGGAGCACAGGGCTGCCAGACCCACCAGATGGCAAGTTGTACGCACCAGGCCTCTCTCTGTGCCTGTCCTGCATGTGGAGGGAGAGGTGGAGTTCTCCGGCTGTTCTAGGTGGAGATAGCGTTAATATCTTAAGTCAGCGACTTACCACTTCCTATGTGAGTCTGTCCTTGACACAGGAAGGACAGAGATACACTAGGACCCACAGGCCCAACCAGGACCAGAATCAGGGGTTAGGACTACGATCCACACACCCAGCCAGGACCAGAACCTACATGGCCCTAATCATAGAACAGAGAAGCTGGTAGGAAGGGACACAAGCTGAAAGCCAGCCTCTCTTCTTTGGTGATTAACAGATGAGTGCAGAAAGCAGAAAGAACATGAGGGTTTCAAGAGGCTGAGCCAGGACACGCCGACCTCGGCAGAGCCGTGCTGTTCCCAAGACACACCACACTGGCCTTAGAACATATTTACCTCATACAGGACATGCTTTCTGATCCCAACAGAATATAATTAAACATTGACAGCAGGAAAAAATGATGTTGGCCACGGCTACCTGTGTGGAGAAGCAGTACCTTCATTGCTCAGGAAGCTGGAAATGAGCACAATCTTTCTGAAGGTCAGCATGGACTCCCTCAATCCAGAAGTGCATGCCAAGGACAGCACGGGTGTGGATCAAGAATGTCCAGCACCATGCTTCTGTTAGTGGCAAAGCCTTTCATGGATCCTAAATGACCAATAATAATAAATTAAATAAACTGTGATATTCATGTAGTAAAAATTTTAAATACACAATCATTAAAAATAAACCACAGAAAAAATGCTAGCCTGGAAAATGTTCACCACAGAAAGCTAACATGAAATAAGTAGACWATTAAATAATGCACACACAAAAACCAAGAGGGAATGTGTGTGCACATGTGTGTGCAAAGATGAAGGGGACATACCCCAGTGTCCACCTGTTATCCCTGGGTATGGAATAACACAGTCTTGATTTTCTCCTTTGTGCTCTCTATTAAAAATCCAGATTCTCTGCAACAAAGTATTGGTTTCAGGATCAGGAAGGTTAGTTACATTTAAGAAAATGTTTCTATTATGGAGTTTGGTGCACATTTTGTTTAAGCTGAAGTCTATCTGCATGACAAAGAAGCTTTGTTTCTTTTGTTTGTCTCAATAGAACAAGTAACTGTTCATCTGATTCTCTAATAACCTCTGGGGTGGGAAGTTAGAAAGGGAAAGAGAAAAAGCTCAGAATCAAAAGAGGAGGGGACAATGTAGCATAGCTGCAGATGCCCAGAGAGAAGGAGCGGGACAGACAGGCACAGGAAAAGACAGAGAGAGAGACATAGAAAGAGAGACACATAGAGAGATAGAGATGGGCAGGGGCAGAGGACAGAGAGAGAGAGACAGACAGGGACAGGCAGGGACTAGGAGTGGCCTTGGAGTAGGCGGTCTGGCCCCTTCCTCTGCTCTGGCTTCAGGTTTACCTGCAGAACCATGTGGGTCATCGTACTCTCTGGAGTGGTTCCTTTGTCCCTGTTTGAATGTGATGCTGGACCCAGGAGCTGAGGATCCTCTGGCTTCAGTGTGAATGGATCCAATCTGCACACCAAGAGTATGGCCACAGACCCTGAGTTAGGTGGAAGGGCATCAGGATCCCAGGACAGACCCTCCAGGAGCTTGAGATTCCCTCCAGTGTTAGACAGGCAAAGCCCTACCCAGAGAGAGGGCATTCCCAGAGATCCTCAAACCTTCAGGATACTGCCCTCCAAGAGTTGAACCTTCCTCTCCTGCTGGCTTGGTGTGATGGGACACAGTCACTCTAATAATTAGAATGCGGCAGAGGTGACAGACCAGGTGACACACACACATCCTGATCCCTGCTCCCTCTGTCCCCATCTCTCAGCAGCCACTCTGAGGGCACTCTGGAGGGAGCAGCTTGACCCTCTGGGCCAGCACATACACACACACCACCTCCCCACTGGGGTCACCTCACAGTGCTGCCCAGCAGCAGGCAACAGGTGAGCAGAGAAGAGGCATGTCTGTAGGACCTGGCTCCCCTACCCTGCCTACACCTAGTGTCCCACCATAGAGAGCTCTGCAGCCAGCAAACAGCACAGTCATCCTTGTGGGAGCCCTGGACAGAGCAGTTGCTTTTGCATTTCTCCATTTTCTGGTTTGTGAAACTGAGGCTCAGAGAAAATGATTTGTTCATAACAGTTCCATGTGGCAGCGGGGAATCCAACAGCCCCTGACTCAGAATCCCAGGTTAGCCTGTGAAACCATCATAACAGAGGCTGGAGCAGCAGGAAGAGCATTCTGGAGGCTGAAGGTGGCCAATGGCAGGCTCCCGGCCCCTTGGGGCACCTGGTGGCTGCGGGCTGCCTTCACCCTCCTCGGCGTCCCACCTCTCACTCCATCTGGGTCTGTTGTCCTGGAGCACTCCTCCTCTTCCTGCAAGGACACACACCAGACTAGCTGAGGACCACCCTRAGGACTGCATCTTCCCTCCCTACTCACACCTGCAAAGACCCTTTCTCCAGATGTGGTTGTCACATCTTCTGGGGGGACACAGCTCAACCCTTGGCATTTCATAAGTTACGTCCTCCTCTCTACCCAGGAAGGTGGAAGAAACAGAGCCTCAGTGCGCAGCCCAGGCCAGAGCTCTGGGCCCCCTAATGGTGCAAAACCCCGCCGGAAGCCAGACAGTGGGCTCACTCTAGGGGGTCCACACCAGGGGCCACCAGATRCCCAAGCTGTTTCATTACATCCCCCTGTGAATTTGTTCCTAACTTCCTCTCTGAGGTGGACACAAATGGAGGAGGAAAAATGTCTGTGTTGTCCTCTCTTGCACAGCCCAACCCCCGGGGAGATGAGCATTATGGAAGCTGATTAGCCAGAGAGATGCGAGGATGCCCGATTTCTCAACTCTTGGGCCTGACTTCATTTCCATTATCACTGGGTCCCATCTCTGGTTCCAAGACAACCACTAAATTAACCTCACAATAAGTTATTCCTAGGAAGCATCAAGGAGGCCAAACAGCATCATGGAAAGTTCCTGTGTCCACTGGGAAGGCCTGGACACAGAAGCGCCCTATAGTGAGCACAGGGATATAYGAACCTCAAAGACTATGGAAGGACAGCCTTAAACACAGGCAGCCATGTCCACCCCACCCCACTAAGGTTGTTCTGGGTGGAAGCAGAACCGGCTGCAGGGGCAAGGAAACCTGGGTGCAGGCAGAATGGTTTCCCACACACCCTCCTCTCCTCCCTCCAGGAGGCAATATTTCAATTCCTAACCTCTTTGAAATGACTGTGGCCAGGTGACCTTCAGACCCTGGGAGACCTTGCCTGTCTGCTCAGCCAGGTGCACAAGGCCTACTCAGGAGTGTGCAGGTGGACTGGTCACAGGTGCCTTGGGAGCTTGTCCCAGGGGCCATCCCAKCAGCCATCCTGACTACAGGTGCCCTGACAGCAGGTGTGTCACAGATATAGATCTGCCTGGCAGCCCACAGGCAAAACGTCTGTGGCCTCTGGGGTCCTTCCCAGATGCAAGTCCACAGCCTGGCATCAACAGGCTCACATTTCAAGTTTCCATGTGCAGCACTTGGCTTCTTCTCAAAGTCACACCAGGTGTTTCTGAGTCCCCGGGGACATGTGGGACAAAGTCCACTTTTGTTCTTCAACTCCAGCTGTGGAGGAAAGCCAATATGCCACTGAGGCTGAGCACAGTACCCCCACCAAGCCCAGGACCCGGAAACCTGGGGAGAACCAGGGACCAGTCTGCTCAGAAGGGACCCTTCCTCCACCTTCCCTTCATCAGGTGTGCCGAGGCTTTGGGATACACACGTTAACTCTGCTACAAACCTCTGAAGAAAAAGGAGGCATCGCTAGAGAAAGACACACGCTACCTTGACCCTTCCTTTCACAGCATCAACAGCAGCTGGGAATCTCCAGCAATACCTAGGAGAATCACTACCTCCCAGCCCATCACCCAGCCATAAAGACCTTCACAGGGCTTGGGGGGGGGGGGGGAGGCTCCCTCAGATCCCAGTTGCCACCCTCTCCTTTTCCAGTTCTGATCTGACTTTACCCTGTGCCGCAGTCTGGGTAGGCACAAAATCACGAGCCACTCATAGCCTTGTAGATTCAAACAGCAATTCTTTATTCCCAAACTCACACRGGCACTCTACACACGTTCCGGGAAAATCCACGTTCTGCTGCAAAATTCAAGTACTCCACCAGGCTTTGAATCCCAAATACTTTCTGAATCCCACGAGAACTCAACGGGAACTCAAGGATCTGGCGTGCCTGAGGCAGCAGGATATGCCCTATTCCCAGCAGGGTACACCTTAAACCTGGAACCGCCCTAAACCCAAGGATCGGGATACTCCCTATTCCCAGCAGGATACACCCTAAATCCGGATCCATCCTGGTCCTTGAGCAGGGTCACCTTTCTCAAACATACATRCAATGTCACTGCAAATGTCCAAGGCAAGTCCATTTCTACRAGTCCTTCCTCTAAGCAACATGAGGTACGCTGGCAAGGAAATTGTCATACCTACTTGGCTAATGGCTCTCAGCAACCCTGTGAGCACAAGGTTCTCCCTGGAGGAGGATGTTCCCCAGTCTTTCCAAAGGCCTTTGAAGGCCATCCCCACAGTTCAGAACACTGCTGGCAGCTTTGGAATTATAGTATAATTGTCACTGCTACTATATGCATAGGTTTCCCTGGCCTCTGGGTCCAGTTTCTGACATCATCAAGAACTATCACTGACCCAGTGACTTCTTCCTGACCCAGTCAGTCTCTGGCAGGGAGGAAATTCAGACCTAAGGAAGGGAACAGTCCTCAGGGGCACTGGCTTCTTCCCTCCTCCGGGGATCACTGTCCTCTGAAAAGCCTTAATCAGAAGCAGACTGTTCTGCTTAGGAGCCTAAATGAAGCCCAGCAGAAAGCAGCAGAGTGTCTGGGCCACCGAGAAGAAGCATACACACAGAATACTCCAGATCAAAAGGCTTGCCCCTCCGGGATTTGGAAGCAAGGAGAAATGTWGAGCCCTACAATGCTGGGGAGACAGAAGGTCTGTGTTCAGTTCCCGCGGAGGACGGAGCCAAACCGAGGAGGCAGATGTGTGCTGCCCTTACCAAGACAGCCGCCGGGATGCTACGGGCGCCGTGGACTAGGCCGGGTCTCTCTCCACAGAACGGAAATTCTGAACTGGGGTGTGTGTGTGTGTGTGTGTGTGTGTGTGTGTGTGGCGCGCGTGTTGCTGTTGTTGTTTTTCCTGGAGTCCTAACCTTGAATCGCACCTGCACCTGAGGGCCAGGTGGTGCCTCCCCTGAACGCCCGTTCCCCACACAGGTACTCAGGGTCGGTTCTTTCGGGAACTCTTGGCCTGCACGTCATGGTGCCCGGAGGCCTGCACGTTCCGGCCAAGAGCTCGGCTTCCCGCGGGTAATCCTGCTTCCGCGGTGTCCAACTACCACTTAAGGGAAGCTTGCTCTGGCTGAGAGCCGCGGGAGGCTGACCACATCCTGTGCCTCCGCGCCATCTGCACAAGGACCGCCCAGTGCAGGTGCCCGTGCTCCTCTTCTTCCACGTCCTTCCTGGCCTCCGGACCTCACGGCCTCCGCGCGAGTCCCCCCGGCCGACCTCAGGCTCTGCAGCAGGCCTTGCCGCAGACACCAGCTGGGCGCGCACGTGCTCGGGCCGCCGCCCCAACCGCGCAGCACACCCTCCATCCTCCGCCCAGCTCCCTGGCTCCTCCGCGGGGCAGCCGTGCGCATGCGCGGAGCCGAGTCCGGCTGGGCCGCAGCGCGGTGGCCGGCGCTAGCTGTAGGCACCCGCCCGGCCCCGCTGCTCGGTCCCCGCCTCGTTTTCTCTCTGGACCCGGACAGACCCCGGCTGAGCTGCGAGAGAGGCCAGGATGTCGCAGACCGCCATGTCCGAGACCTATGGTAGGGCCTTCCGCGGGGCGGGAGAACAGGCTCGCGGGGTGTCCGGGTGTCCAGCCAGGCCGGTCTGGGTTCTTGAACGGTGGCCACGGAACAGGCAGGAGGCTGGGCCAGGTCCGGATCTTGCGATGCCAGGATCTCTGGGTAGCAGAGCCAGCCGGTGTCAGGGTGCCCTGCTCGGTCTGGGAGTGCATATGGCTGATGTTGGCTGGCTCGGGTTTCCTGCGTGCGCCCCTTTGCCACCCTTAGGTTTTCCTTACAGAATTTAATTCAGTGCAGGGTGTGGGAACCAGATTTGATTTCCACCGCTGGTGCTCAGTGAGGGCCGCAGGCTCAGGGCCGCACCTGTTTCTGGGTGTCCTCTGACAGGGCAGATCCCYGTTCCTGGTTGGGAGTTCTCTCCTTTGCTTCTTTGCAGCAGGATTACAGTGAGGGAGCAGTGATTAACCCATCTTTYTCCTGCGACCTCTGGCTTCATCCATCTCCCTCTCTCAGCCCTTTCTTGGTTGCTCTCTGGCTATTTATAACACGTCTCCTTTTGATGACCATGAGTACTTTGGAAGCAGAGCCCAGTCTGTTTAATCTTTGTTTCCCCTAAGCAAATGTGCTAAGCAATTTTTTTCTTTTTTGATAAATCAAAGCTTTTTCAATTTATATACTAAGTTGCTCCCACCCACTAGGTTCAATAAAGGAGACCAGTCTGCCAACCCCTGATCACTCTTTCAGATGTGACAGCTGATAGTCACCCAGAGGCTCTGGGTGTGCAAATATGGACCTTAGGCCTGGTGTGTTTGCTCCCACCCTGGCAGATGTCTCCTGCCCTCCACAGAGGYGTGTGGAGGAGGGATTAAGCTTAGAGAATCCTGCAGCATCGGACTTCCTCAGGACCATGTTGTCAGGGCTCTGGACACTGCAGAAACAAACACCACAGACACCTGCTAGGTCTCACAGTGTGCAGTCTAGTGGGGAAGAGTGTAGATGTCCAGCTGGACACTGACGGATAAATAACTTAAAGCCAGGCAAGAGTTCTGAAGAATGTAATCCGTGCAAGTACATGGCAAAGAGCACTGACCCAGAAGGTCAGGGCCAGGGAGGTGTCAGCCCTACAGCCAGAGCCCAGGCAGCACAGGACCTCAGCCCAGACCTGCATGTATCTGAGCACCATAGTTTGGGAGGGTGAGGGGCAGAGGGCCTAAGGAGGGCTTGGACTTTGAGAGGGTGGGAAGCTGGAAGGGTGTCACACTAGGGCTCACAGGGCACCTGGTCCTCTGCCAGCAACTGGCACTGCCCTGCTCCTGTGAGTGGGGCCTGACATCTGTCCATAGAAGCTGAGAGAATCCTGCAGCCACTGGCTTCCTTAGGACTGTGTTGTCAGCTGTGGGTACCCCCCAGGTGGCTCCTGCCGTCTGGTTCTGCAGAGAGCCAGTCAGACCTGTCCACGCAGAGAACCTTCGCATGCCATCTCACCTGTGCTCCTCTGAGCTTCTTGCTCCCTAGCCACACCCAGCTTCCTGGTCAGGAACGCTGGGAGGGGCGGGTCACCCAGGAAGAGGGCTTGTGGGGGGGGGGGGTTGTCATGAATCAGTGGGGAAAGAGCTTCTCACAGGAAGTGCTGCAGCCCTGACAGTGTGCTGGGCATCCTGGGCATGCTGGGCATGGCAGGACCAAGGGGCCAGTGGGCTCAGCGAGAGGCAAGGCCATTAGGGTGATTCCATGGCCYCTCCAAATGGGTGTTACTTGCCACTCCCCCTGGATTTAATCCTCTCTCCAGTGGAGGAATTAAAGGAAACTAAAAGAAAGCTGGCATGGTGGTTGAAGTTGCCAACCTAAGGTCACCCTGAACCAAGGCCTCGCCTGGCCCTTCAGATATGGCTGTGTCTGCATGACACTGTTCCCTGAAGTAAAGCCTCATGTCCCTTCCTCTCGAATGCTTGCCTCTTGCTGAAGGAATGTCTGCCTGGCCTTTGAGTTCCTTGTACTCTGGGCCCATCCTCTCCTGTGTAAGGGGGCTCTGGAAGCTCGATGGTCTGTGACTAAGAGGGGAGAGCCACTTGGGATATGCTGCCAAGGGGCCAGTTCCACCACTTCTTCATTAGCATGTTCAGGCTATTACTGCACCTGCCAGGGATGGTGGCTCCCACATGTGCTAGCTCAGAGGCTAGCCATRTGGACAGTGCTCTAGGCTGTGTAATATCATGACACAGAATCAAAGTGTCAAACAGAGGGGAATAGAGATACTCAGTCCAAGTACACTAACCTGAAACAAGGTTCTCTCAGATAAAAAGTCCACACTCTGAAGGCCCTGTGGAGTGTTTCTGGGCCGCCCCAAGGACCTGTGCCCCAGCAACCTGAGGCCTGGGGCTTGCACCCTGTCTCCGAGGAATTCCTGAAACCAGCAGTGATGTGCAGGACGGAGCTAAACATGTTGTTCAGGACATGTGGCGGAGGTGCCAGACAGTGTGATGGAAACTCAGGAATAGAGAACGCTAACAGACTGCCCGTGAGCAGATGTGCCTCTGTAGGAGGGCTGTTTGTGAGAGAGGACCATGTGAGTTGCTGGTCCTGGGCTCGTTTTTATCATATTATTTTCTTAGAGTTTTCATTTTGTGCTTCCCTCTGAAAACAACATCGTGTATTTACCGAGTGATCAAGAGAATCACTGGACATTTACTGTCAAATCTGTGTCCTTGTGGGACGTTGCGGGTTGGATCATGTCCCAAAGTCATGTCTAGGTCCTGAACCCCAGAGTCTGTGAGTGTGACCTTATTTGGAAGCAGGCTGTTAGGATGTAGGCATGAAGTGACCCCCAAAAGCTCAGGTGTGGGACAATGCAAGAAAGCTAAGAGGGGAAGTGATTGGGTTTTGAGAGTCTTAACCTGATCAGTGCATTAATCCACTGGAGTGGATTAACTGGGTAGTAACTGTGGACAGGTAGGGTGTGGCTGGAAGAGGCCATCCTTGGGCCTATGCCTTTGGGGTTTATATTTTGTCTGATGAGCAGAGCTCTCTGCTTCTTAATGGCCGTGTCCTGAGCTGCCTTCCTCTTCCACACCCTTCCACCATGAGGTTCTGCCTCAGAACAAGGAGCCAGCCATTTACACGAGTGAGTCTGTAAACGTGAGCCAGATAAACTTCTCCTCCTCCTGTTTGCTGTTGTCARGTCTTTGGTCACAGCGAGGAGAAAGACAAAAAGATCTTTGCAGACAGAGTTAAGATGAGGTCATACTGGAGTAGGGTGGACTAATGCAGGGACTGCTGTCCTTATGAGGTAAGGATGCAGACTCACACAGAGAGGACGTGACGTGCCGGTAGAGGCTGAGATTGAGTGACGGCCACAAGCCAAGGAGCCAATGTCGGCCAGCAGCCAGATGTAGAAGAGGCAAGGAAAGCCCTTCCCTGGCACCCTCAGAGGGAGCTCAACTGCCCTGCCTCGATGTGAGACTCCCTGCCCCCAGAACTATAAGACAGCACCTCCTATGGTTCAAAGCCACCTGATGGGCAGCTTGTTGTGACCAGCCTGGGAAGCAAACCCATTGGCTTTGGCCATCAAACCCTGCTCTTGGCGAAGCCCAGACTTGATAAGACAAGATGGAGTGAGGAGGGCACCCCAAGAAAGAGAAGTGGCAGGTTCAGAGCCGCCTGGCTCCAAGAAGGTGCCAGGTAACCTGCACTAGGTGTCACCTGGATCACCACTGTCTTAGCTGCATAGATGTCAGGACACGTAAATGTGTCAACAAAGGAAGCAGAAAAAACAAGGGCATTTCTTCAGGTTGAATAAATTCATGATTGGAAAGTGCTTTTGCTTTTCTCCTTCACTGAAAACCAGCTGACTGCTGAGTCTTCCTGGATGCCCTTTACTATAACTCAAGTCACCCCTGCCCCTGAAACTACAATGGAAAGTTAATTCAGAGCAGTTTATTCAACTGGAAATGGAGAAAACAAGGCTTCCTGGAGTTCTCCTGGCAGCGCCGTGGGCAAGTGTAGGGACTGCCCTGAGCTGCCGCCCGCTTCCTCAGGCCCACTCTGCAGCACCTCTGCTGGCCCTACTCACGGGTCACAGGAGCTCCCTGGGGCTGGGGGTTTCTGGTCAGGTGGACTGGGAATGGGCTTGATAAAATTTATTTGGGGCTCTTCTTGAGCCATGGCATCACAGGGAGATCATTGTGCTTGGAATGAGAGACATCCCCAAAGCTTTTTGAGCTCCTTGGAGAATGGTTTCCTGCAGGCATGAGGGTGAACCTGCTTGTACTACGAATGATGGCATCTTCGGTTGTTAGAACCATTTCCCTCTTTGGGCCACGTGGTGTAGAATCATCCAAGGTTGAATATTATAGGGGTGCATCAGCTTGCTAGTGGAACATAGGCTACACGTGGACTTGGGTTCCATCTCCAGCACCCCGGAAGCAAAAAAAAAAAAAAATTACTCTTCTTTGGTGATCTTTGCTCTATCTATCTATTTCTTTCTTTCTTTCTTTCTTTCTTTTTTTTTTTTTGAGGGGGCAGTACAGGGGATTGGACTCAGGGGCACTCCACCACTGAGCCATATCCCCAGCCCTATTTTGTATTTTACTTAGAGACAGGGTCTCACTGAGTTACTTAGCACATCACTTTTTTTGCTGAGGCTGACTTTGAACTCTTGATCCTCCTGTCTCAGCCTCCCAAGTGCTGGGATTACAGGCATGCGCTAATATGCCCAGCTGCTCTGAGTATTTCTTTGGATGAGAAGAAGGCTCGTGTGTCTGGATCTTCTTCTCTTAAACCTTCCTGTGGAGATGAGTCAGACTGATGTGATGGACTAACCCTCTGCCAGGAGGTCTGCAGCGAGAGTTTGCAGAAAGCCTTTGACTCCTCAGTCCTAAGGTACTCATCTTAGTCCATGTTCTGTGGCTATAACCAAATCCCCAGGAATGGGTAATTAAAAAAAAAAAAAAAAAAAGAGGTCTATTTTTGCCAGGCAGGCATGATGGTGCACACCTGTGATCCCAGCTACTCAAGAGGCTGAG